CAATTGTGTCCTAATATTGGGTTAAGGGTATGTTTGTGTTTTCTTGCAGGAAGCAAATGAGGTCTGGTGGCTGCATTTAACAGAGGAAAACTGGACCTGAGACCACCTCGGAAACCTGTTCAAGCCACTTAGAATGAGACTTGCTGAACTTGTGTTCCTGACTTTATAGTCCAAGAAAGAAAGAGAACAATTGGTTAGAGATTTTCAGAAGGAGATTAGACACTATCAGTTTGTTTGAGATTTCCGGTTTCCCAACAGTTAGCTACACCACATCTTGGAACAATTGAAAGCTATTATGGACATGGTGTGGGGCAAAAGTCCATCTTCAGTATTGGAGTAGACAATGAACAAAAGTTTTGGGGTTAATAACTTTAGTACTTAAGGACTGTGGTATCTCAAACTTATCTTTGAAAATTATAAGCAGCGATGCATTGGACTTTAGAGAGGGAAAAAGAAAAGGTTCAGAACTGTGGCATTATTCATACTTCATTTACCACAAGTAGATTTTATTATCCTTTGATTTATCTAATTTTCCTAAATGACTCAACTTGAATTAATCTCCCAATGTGTCTTCACTTATAATGAACAGCCTTTGCTGCACTAGATATTTCTATTTTTAATTGACAATGACCTTTTCTAGCCATGGAACAATGGTCCCTCTAGCACCTAACCTTTCAGCACACGTTCCCTTATTTCTTCTTTACTGCTTTTTTTTATGAAATGGTTATAATATTTTAAGTGAGGCAAAAATATTTCTTCTTTGGGTGTCCAAACTAAGCTGAGGCCCAACCTTTCTCTTGTCTTCAGGATTGTGCTATCTTAAAACATCATGTTATATGGACTGAAGTTTTGTTTTATTGTTATTTTGAGGTGGATACTGAAGAAATAACCCATTAAGTTTTAAGAAATTATCTATGAAACTATAAATGTTAAGCTTCTATAGCCACATACACTTTGTCTCAGCATCATTGCATTTTTAACTGCATACTTTTTAATCAATATTAATAAGCTAGCATATAATAAGTATACTCAGTGTTCATGAAGAACTAAGAATGTGATGATCACTGTGCTCTGTGTTTCTTGATGTGAAGGAGCATTGAAGTCCACATATTGTTCTTCTGATGAGCTTGTAGGATCCTGCAGAATATAAAGAACACTAAAGATCTGATACTGATCCTGAGCAGCCAATTCTGGTGGCCAGGACAGCTACTACAGTTTCTGATGTACATGCAAAGATGTGCCATCCCTTGGGGTTGCTGGCCAGGGAATGATTAAGAGAATAACATAAATAACATCACTGAACAGGAACCTCAGTGAGCCCTGTCAGGGCAAGGGCATAATTCCTGTCATTGCTGTTCTGAAATGTAATGATTTGAATAGTGTTTACAATGTTGTATTCAGGTCTGTGAGGGTTCCACAAGGTGCCAAACTAAACTACTGCTGACTTGCAAATGAATTGAATCTAGTTAAAATGCTAAACTGAAGACATGAAAATCAGCTGTAAAATCAACTGTGATGACCAATTTACTTTACTATGAAAATCTGAATTGAAAGTGATGGTATAAATGTTAAAACCAGATGTTCAATCTCTCATTTTGAGCACTCCATTTCTTTAAGATGAGCGTGGAAGAGGTTGTTTTGCCTACAGAGAAGTTCAGGAGGTGTCTCAGGAATTTGTGGTTAAACAAATGTGTGGCCTCTTTAAATGAAGTGGGTTATATATTACGTAAGTTTTATTAGAACAAACTGATTTTTCCAAAGAATAAAAATGATAAAAAAAAGATGTAATTTTAGTGGTATTTGAGTGTCTGGACCTGAGAAGCACTGCTGTTGACTCTAAGATAGAGAATCCTCAACATTACAACCAGAAAATTATTTGTCTTAAATTAGTGATAAGTTTCTGTTACTTGAGATCTAAATAGTACTAGCAAATATAATATGCTTCTAAGACAAATCTATAAATCTGATGGGACCTCAAACTATTTATTCAGGTGAATAAAAAAGGAGTTTTTCTAATTTACAAGCTCTTTTATTTTGCCATTATTAAAAATTATATATGAACATGTAATGTGGTATTTCATCAGCTCTATTCAAACAAACCCAGATATATTTTGGCATGTCTATTGTGTTCAAAACAGGTTTGGTATCTGAGGGAAATTTTTAAAAAAAAGTTACTATGGAAGTAATAAGCAAATTGTGAGATGGTAATATGTGTAAATCCACTTATATAATCAAGCCTATAAAAATAGGACACAGAAACTTCTTATATGTTCTCTCTATTACTTTGAAAAAATTTAATTTAGTTTTGACCAAGTTATTTCAGGATTAGATTCCATACTTTGATACAGTCTTTTCATCCTTGTTAGGTTAGGTTATTAAAACTAAATGAAATATCTAGAGAAAGCAATTTTTAATAAAAGTCTGCTTCCTACAAAAAATATTTTCTACAAACGAGCAAATGTAAATATCAACTCAGATACCTTTAAACAACTTTTAGTATACACTTTTTTTCCTCATCAAATGGTGTTGTAAGCATTTGTAGCCAGACATCTGCCAAAGAAGAAAAGGAAAATATAGCACGAATAATATAACCCAAAGACAGATATTGGGATTTAAGCTGAAAAACAAAGCAGCCAGCCAGTAGCTCTTTCCTGTACCAAGGCTGAAATGGAGATCCTGTCTTCCCTGAATATAAACTGAATTTCCCATAAGACCCTTTTCTTCTTCCTTATATACCTCTCTAGTGCTGGGATTAAAGTTATGAGCTCTGTTACTCTTTTAGACTGATTCACTCTCATGAAGCCCAGGGTGGTATTGGATTCACAGAGCTCCATCAGTGTCACTGCTTTGAATTCTGATTCCCAGGCAAGCTTTATTAAATCATAAATAATACATTTCCCCAGAAAAACCACAAGAGATTTCAGCTATTATTCAGATCATCGGCTTACCAAGACTCAAAAGATCTTGTCTCAAGGTCTTCCAAAATCATTCCTTGAATAGTTTTATACTTTAGCACTCATGGAATTTGTTCTCTGGTCAACAGGAAATATGTAGAAAATGTAGAAGAAGTAATGTAACAATACAGAAAGTCAGATATTTTCTGATATCTGTGAAAATCAGAACTTGGTTGAGGTAATTTAAAGTAATATATATTATCAATAAAGAGAAACTGTCTTAAATTTTGTATAATGTTAAATAAAGAGTTTACTCTGGGGCTTGCCACCTCAGCAGTTAGGAACATCCTAAAGAGATATGAATGCATATGACTGCACAAAACTTCTACATGAACTTCCACAGCAGTATCACAAATTATAAGCTAAAGCAAAGGCAAAATGATTAATCATGAAATGCCTAATGGAACAATAAAAGTAGAATTATCTAATACAAAGAAATGAGTGTAACAATAGAAGGTGAGTTAGTGTTCTTTCTCACTTCCATTTTGATACATCCATGATGCACACATATAATTTTTTACAGTACCTGTACTCCTTCTTTGATACCTATTCTCCTTTTCCGAAATACCTGTTAAATTTGACATTTGATATAAATACTTGTTTAAGATTAAAGGCACTTGTCTTCTGTGTGTACAGCCTTCCACATCCTTCCTTTTCTCAATGATTACTTTTTTTTTTCCCTTAGAACTTTTATCACCCATTAGTGTTGCCCGTATGTCTCTTCTTGCAGGATTCTTCATCTTTTAGAATTCTTAGTATATTAAAATGAGGTGAGTTTAGCCTTCTGCTAACCCATCCCACAGACTTGAGCTTTGCTCTGTCTCTTCACATGTTTATTTACTGACTTGCTATGTCTTTTAGGACTCCCTGATATTTCCTTATAGCCCGACATGAAGCACTAGGTAAATGGGACTTTGGTACTATAGTGCGCCAAGAGGGGAGGAAGTATTTTATAGTTTTATGATTATTATTCATGCTTTAATGAGTGGTGACCTGGACTCTTATGGTTCATTCAGCTTTTCTTGTTGTCTTGATGGGATATGACAGGTTCCCTTCTTTCATTTGTCCATCCTACTAATTACAAAGCTTGGCTTTACCCCATGTTCTTCCTTCTGTTAAGGAATCAATAGAAATTGGTTAGGTTTACATTAATTCAGCTTCATTTTTTAATAGACTGTTGATATGGTACTTTCATGTGTTAAGTTGCTTATTGTGGGGAGCTTGCTTATACACATTAAAATACACAAATACTTTCTTATGGGAAAATTTTATAAACAAATATTGGTCATAAAAGTTCCAGATCTATAAATTTAGCATGTTATATAGATAATTTATCACTATTGCACGAAAGGGTTTGGGAGCACATTCCCCATGGAGGGATACCCCCTTAATCTAGAGACACGAGGGAGGGCCTAGGCCTTACTCTAAATGACAGATTATGATGATCCCTCCTGAGGACTCATCCTCTCTGTGAAATGGGTAGGGAATGGATGGGATGGGGTATCAGGGAGCATGGGAAGATAAGTGGGAGAGAGAACTGGTATTGATATATAAAATAATAATAATGATGATGATGATGATGTGAAAAATAAAAAATAAATGTTTCTTAAAAACTTTAAAAAAGAAATATTGAAACAATTTTATGGACTCATTGTTCATATATTAGACCCATGTCAATAAAATGTTTTCAGTTTGTGTGTGTGTGTGTATGTGTGTGTGTGAACCAAGGCTACTCTACATAACACCAGGAGCCAGATCTGCACTCTAGGGAACTTATCCCATGAGACCCTGGCTCCAAGCAGGCCTCGCTAGTGGATGTGAGAGCCGTTGTGCAGGTTCCCAAAGACAGCAACCAACTGCCCTCATCTCCTTTGTTTTAGAGCAGTTTCTCTCCCCTGAGTATGGAACATCAGAACCAGAAGTCCAATGAATGTTTGGAAGTATGCCTCCCCCTCAGGCTCCCTCCAGTTATAATCCACAATCATCTGCATTCCTCCTAGAGGGGAGGCCTGCCCCCTCCCCTCGTTGTTGCTGGTATCTGCTCACCTGAAAGGAGTTGAAAAGGTACCAGAGAGACCAGGTTTTGATGAAATTGTAATACACAGAGATCAAGAAGGAGACCACCAAGCTCTCAATGCCTGAAAGGAATAAGAAGGTCATGCTGAGAACCAGGTGTGGTAGCCCAACCTATAAGTACCCCTAGGACCCCTAGACATGATGGGACCACCCAGGACAGGAATACTTCCCCTCCATGTTTTTTTTTTCTAACCATGACTTCAAGTTTGTGACGCATTTCTGAGGGTTCTTCTCCCCCTCCCCAACCTCTCATACATGTTTTAATATCTAAGTGCTAGGTCCCGGGATCTATGCTTGGCGTGTGTCTTAGTCAGTGTTCTATTGCTGCAAAGATATCCTAACCACAGCAACTCTTATAAAAGCAAGCATTTTAATTGTGCCCTGCTTACAGTTTCAGAGGTTTAGTCCATTATTTCCATAGACAGAAGCAGGGTGGCACGCACAGACAGACAAACAGACATGGAAGCTGAGCATTCTACTCTGGACCTGGAGGCAGCAGGAAGAGAGAGACACTGAGACAGGCTTAGGCTTCTGAAACTCCAAAGACCACGACCCCCAGTAACACACTTCCTCCAACAAGGCCACACCTTCTGATTCTTTCAAATAGTGCCCCTCCCTATGAACCTGTGGGGGCCATTTTCATTCAAACAGCCACATGTGTCTCTGACATTTCCATTTTGCAGAAAAGTAAGGCGAAGACCACCCAGAGGAACCAGGACATAAACCTCCTGAGAAATACATCACTCATGTGCCTGGTAGGATAATTATTTCCTTTAGACCAGGTCACTGGGGCCACACTTGCCACTCTGCTATCAGGAGGGATGGAGGCTGGCAGAGGCATGAAGTGTGGAGGAGAGTCCCACTGCCTTCGGACAGGGGAAGAGTGTAGCACCAAGTTGCCCTGGGGTGGTGACTTTGGCCTTTAGGAGCACTGTTCCCAGCTCTCACCATCCCTCATGTACCCAGGGACCGGTGGCCATGTCAGAGGAGCAGCAGGTGACACTCTAATTCAGGAGCTCAGTCAGCACACCAGAGTGTGAGGCACTGATGGGTGAATCCCAGATAGGCAAGGCCCCGAGGGCTTCGGCTGCAGAATGTCTCTGGCTGCTGCCATGCCTTTGCGTGCTTTTCTCTGGTATGTGGCATGGTGTGGGATTATCTCATGGAAATATCCAGTTCTACTGGGCATTTTTGGTTGTGAGCCTAGCCTTTAACAGCTGAGCCACTCCTCCTGCCCTCTACTGGGAGTAATAATCCTCTACTGTGGATTATTATGAAGATGATTTCCTCTTAAATTGTACCCTTTAATTGAAGCAATGATTTTATACAACAAACTGTGTTAGTTTAAATACAATTGATCGTTAAGGTTTTTTTTTAAATATAGTAAGGGATTATGATAGATGCTTAGTAGGAATATTAATATAGGTAAAGACGGATATAGTGTTGTACCTGCCCCTGATAAAGCAGGATTTACAGAGGGTGGGAAAATAAGGACAAGGAAGGCTCCTGCAGCTAGAACTTAGGGATTCCTCTTGAGGGAGCCATATAGACTGCAGCTTAGGTCAATGGTTAAGGAAAACAATAGAGTCCCAGAGACTAGGCTAGCTCAACTTCTTTTAATCTTAATGTTGGGAGATGTGTTCATGGGTTTTGGTGTGCATCATTGCTAAAACACAGCTTTAAGTCATGACTTAAGGTTAGGATAAAGTGTCTTTGTTATTGACCTGGAGAATTATTTTAAAGTTTTGAAAGGCACACTTTGGATAGTTGAATGAGGGACTCACTGAGGCCAGGAACAAACGCGATGGCAGCCTAGCTATTACTGATTCACATACCTTTCTTGCTAGGATGGATTTGTGATCAAAGGTGATGATTAATTCCTTGTACCCATTTCTACCCTCAGCTTCCTGATATTAAAAAAAAAAAACAAAAAACACTGTTGGTGAATGGGTAAGCTCCCTGAGGACTGCAAAATGCAGCCTGCTAGTAAAAGAACTGTCTGAGAAAAATATCTTGCTTGCTTACACACTCTGTTAATCTAAAGCTGTTTGGACATGTATGCAAAATGTTTAATCATGAAAGGGATATGGAAAACGTGTCAGTTTTTACTTGTAATCGTTCACTTAAAGAATAGAATGTAACCACACTAATTTTTATATTGCTTGAGAGATACTGCCGGGGTATACAAGGTGTAAGGGCAAAAAAGATAAAGCCATAGAAGGGATACATTAGAATAGAGGTAAGAAAAGAAATAAGGGAGAGAGAGATATTATAGAGACACCTTAAAGGTGTATGTGTGTGTTTCCCTTTTCCCCTGGCCCCAGAGTGTTGAACTTTGCCCCACTTGCCAGCCCTAGAGAACTAAGTTTTACCACCTCAGATAGGAAAGTCAAATTGAGTGGTTGGTCTGCCCATTCCGTAGCTCCTCTTCTGAATTCTAGTCCCCACATCAGCTCTCAGGTCTTTTCTTAAGCTGCTGACCTTAGTCATGCTGGGAGTATAGTGGTATAGCCACCACCACAGGGAGATCTGGCCCTTAGGGATTCCGGTACTTCCTTTCCCATTCTACAGAGCTGACCCTTCCTCGCTCCTGAACAATTCTCCTTTCTGTGTTGGAGAGGTACTCACCACTGATGGGCCTGGATCCTGGGCTTTATCAGAGGAGATGAACCATGTCTTAGAGATACCAGAGGATAGCAACTGAAGGTCACTTTGAAAGGCTATGGTGTGAAGCAAAGCCACCTAGTAGGCATGTTCAAACACTGGGAACATTTGTGATGCGCCAGTGCCCCTAAGTGGTGCGGTGAAGATGAAATGACCTCACACGCGTACATGCCATGTTCAGCACCAGGCACACATCCCCAGAGGGTATGTAGCTGGGACCAAATGAATTCTATGTCCAGCCAGTCAGAGAATCTCAAGCTGAGGTCCAGAGTGCAGATGCCCCGAAGTAGGAGTTTCTCTGGGGATGGGGTGCGGTTCCATGTGAGGGTCAGAATCCAGGGCCCTCTCTGCCCGAGCTCCATGCTAGCCCTCTTGGGGGGTCGTTTTACCTAGTCACAGGTCCAGCTCATGCACACTGGCGATGCCCACAAGTCTCTGTCAGAGGAACTGAGAAGGGCCCCATGTACCGACACCACTGAGGTAGGGGCTGATGGTCCTCCAGACACCGGTGCTGCCCCGCCACCTGCGCTGCTCCACAGCCAGCTCCAGGTACAAGAATGGCATCCCTTCTACAATGAGCATGATGATGTAGGGGACCAGGAAACTCCCTGTGGGAGGCCAGAGCTGAGCATCAGCTCAGTGAGAAGAGATGAGATTTATGTCTCTGCAATTGTGCTTCCATCACCTGCGTTTCCACCAGCCTCTTCCGGCAGCCCTTCTACCCCCCACACCTTTCCACTCAAAATCTATTCTTTCTGCTGTGGGTTCTTCTACCTCCCATGTCCATCCCCCAGTCACCCTCTCAGCAATTGTCTTCTGCTCATCCTACCAGTCCAACTTTTCATCATCTGTTCACCCACCATGCCTCTCCTGCCAATGATTTATCTGTTCACCTGTCCATGGATGACATATAGCCATCTCAGTTGTTTAAATCTTTAAATACTTCTATCCTGGCAGGGAAACTGCCCCTGGCCCCGGGTCCTTGGGCATCATTCTCCATGGCTGTGCTGGCCCAGCTTCTGCCAGTAAAAGCGTCTACCCTCTTTTTAAAAAACGTGTTGGGGAGGTTGGGAGGTCAGAGGGACAACTCCAGGAAGTTGGCTTTCTCCTTCTACCTGTACATGGGTTTTTGGAGACTGAACTCAGGACACCAGGCTTGTGCGGTATCTTTATCTACTGGGTCATCTCTCTCAGCGCTTAAGGCTAGACCACCAAGTTGCTAACTTCACTCCCTAGTGCTCCTGACTGTCTTCCTACAGCTCTGGTGGTGTCTGTGCGATGTGGTATCTGAAACAGGCATTTTAAAGCTCTGGTCACACCTGGTTTGTAGGTGGAGTGGAAAAGTCAGCAAACCTGTTGCCTGCCTTGGAGGCTTCACCTAGGTTGAGGCATTTTGGGTCCTTTAGAGTTGCCTGGACCATAGAATGTTCATCCGGCCGATATTTTCAGAGTGCTTAGTAGCTTAGCAAATACGTGGGTGGGTAAACTACTTGGACCCCTCAGTACCCAAAGCTTCATACCACATCCTCCTTTCAAAGTGATCTCTGTGTGTCTGTTTTGAACAAGCACCTTCAGTGTAAAATTTCATTTTGGTACCAGTGACTTAAATAGAAAAACCTTCAAATCCATAGATTCCTAAGAATCGGTCTGTGAATGGAGCTGTAAACACCCTGCCACTGCTAGAAGAAAGTACAGAGGTAGTCAGGAATACAAGGCTGCCCACCAAGTCTGTGGCATGGAGGCATGGCCCAAGACTACTTTAGAATTTTCTCTTATTCACCCCATCTCATGGCTACTTGGCTGGGACCTGGGAAACTGCCACAGGAAAAGGGCATACAAATGCAAACAGTCTGATGAGCAGTAGCTGGGATTGAGGGTGGCCTGTACAGGGAAGGGGCTCCTTGGCATTAAGGAAAACAAGCATAGGCATACACAAACCCTAATAGTCATAAAATACCTCCATGGTACACAGGGGCTGCCTGTGTAGCAGGGGTGTTGATGGTCATCTATGGGACCAAGAACTGAGCTTCCATGAAGACCCAACTGCAAAGAAAGGGAAAGTAACAGCTTTAACCCTTCAGATTGGATGGGGCCCTAAGACCAGTAGTCTCCTTGACTTGTGTGTTTTATAGGGCCCTGTGTCCTCCCCCTTTTCCCTCTGGTCCTGTTTTGATACCTGCCCTCATACCTTCCTGGCATTCCTCCCCACAATGTTTTCTGGGAACAAGAATCTACCGTTTCAGGAAGCCAGCTGTGACTTCATTTGTCTACTTGTGTTGCTCTAACACTCCTGCAGTACTCCCCCAGCCCCACTCAGAGTCTGAGGCCAGGGGAAGGGGGTATGATGGCTCTGGCTGCTTCCTGTTGAGATGGGCAGAGTCTGGGCTTGGAGGGAGACTCTTGCAAGGCAGGCTCTTAGGGCCCCTCCACAGGGTTGCAGCCCCATAGTTTCAGGAACAGCCCAAGGTCTTCCACTTGGTCCATTCAGAGCTCCAGTCCAACCTTTCAAGAGACCTTATATTATTCCCATTGGTATGGCTAAACTTGATTGTTAAATTGACTACATATGGAATCACCGAAAGCCCAAAGAACTGGGCCCAGCTGTGGGGACTTTTCCTGATTGGATCACTTGAGGAGGGAAGACCCACACAAAGTCAAGGCCATACCTTGTGGAAGTTTACATAAAAGGATATGGAAGGAGGAAGCTTGATGCCAAGTTCTAATGAGGAGGTAGGTATTCCTTTGCTGCCATTAAGAACCTACTTCTTCTGGCTCTAACAGATTCAAACACATAGCCTTGTGGACTGAACAACTATGGGATTTTGGCTTTTCTTCTTCTTCTTCTTCTTCTTCTTCTTCTTCTTCTTCTTCTTCTTCTTCTTCTTCTTCTTCTTCATTTTGTTAGGAGATAGCCATTGCTAGAGTATCAGACTACATAAGACATCTGGTTACACAAGACAGTCTTCATACAGTACATAGTGACCTACCATGACTAAACTTTTGGTCTTGAATCACCATAAGTAGCTCATGTCTCCTGAAATAATGCCCTTAATCTTTGCCTATTGTTCTTTATCCTTGTCACAATGTCTGGTGGTTATTCTGACTCAGGAAAAGGAGCATTGGAGGATATTATGATGCAAACATGGTTGGGTCTGAAGTGCAATGGCTCAATTCCTCCTCCAGAGCCAGTTTCTTAGTGTGTTCAAACAGCACATGACATCTTACACAAAAGACATTGCCCCCCTTTAAAACAGAACCCAGAGGTTTATGCTGGACAAGAGACGTTCTGTTGGATCCAGTGACACCTGGCTGAACCCACAGTACCTGTTTTCCTTATAACCAGTAGAGAACTATCCAGGTGAGTGTCATTGGGTCATGCAATCGGAACAGAGATTGAAAAGGTGATCCTTTTATAAGAGTTTTAAAATTTTATAAAGCCATGGGTGAGGGGCAGTGAGCCTCCATAATAAAGGAGGAAGTTATCTGTCTTCCTAATGAGCTACCTGAGAAGGCTCTGTGAACATAGGTGGTCAGTAGAGTTCTCCCACAAAGCCTGATTCAGCTCACTGAGGAGTTGACTTTAGAAGAACCTTGGAAATCGTTTGCCTCATTTACAAAGAGAGGGAAGAAAACAGAGAAGTCTTGGATCAGGATTGCCCCTTTTCTATCCACATTCCCACATACATCTTGATGGACATCTCCAGCTTGTCAACAATCAGCAGCCAGGGTAGTCCCTAGAAGAGGCTGACCCACCTAACTATGACTCAGGTCCCTGCCATCTCCCAGTTTTCCTTTTTAGTCTCTCTTACTGCAATATTGATACCTTGTGCCTGGGCACAGGGAGTCAGGCTAAAGTCCCCTAAAACTCCATTTGTACGCAAGACATTTAATGCCACCATTCCTCAAAACACTTGATTTGGCTGGAAGGTGGCAGACACAGCCAGTTGGATCTCTGGGAGTTCAAGTCCAGCCTGGTCTACACAGTGAGTTTCAGGACAGCCAGAGAAACTTGGTCTCAAAAGAAACAAAACAAAACCAAACAAAAAACCAAAAGCAAACCAAACCAAACCAAACTATTGATGTACCATGAGTCACTTTCCATATAAACCACATAAGCTCTGGAAGAGGTGCTGGAGACACATTTACTGAGTTCATTGAGCACATGCTGTGTGTGTGTGACAGGGGCATCTCTGTTCCATCCTTTCATGATCACAAAATCTACAATTATTTCCCATGATCAGTAAATTACACAAGTTCACAGAGCCAGACAGACTGATGCAAAAAAAAAAAAAAAAAAAAAAAAAAAAAAAAGGAGCTAGATAGATAGGCTCCATCATGTGAGTCAACTGTCACACATGTTATGTAGTTATAAATAGCCAAGACTCTACTAGGATGAGCCTAGGGGACAATATTCATCATGGAGAGCTTCTAAGAAGTCCAATATTTAAGGCTCTATCTCCTTTTTGGGACACATCAACCCACCAACTCAGAAACTCTCTAAAAGTCAGTTGAATAAATCTCAGAAAAACAACTAGAATTACCAGCCCATTATCAGCCTTGGCTGACAGGCAGGGTTATTCACATTCCTGTTTTGTCCCCAGATGTGCTGGCTTTAGGGGAGACAACTCCAAGTTATGTAACTCTGTGACTGTGATTTTGTTTTTTCAGATTGGCCTGCAAGGTCTTAATCCCTTCTTGTTTTCCTGACCCCACAACAGTGAATGGTTTCTGATGCCTATGTGATAGAACAGCTCAGGAGGTCTTCTCAAATTACAGATGGGAGATGCCCAGAAATGTAACATGTGCAGGGAAAGGGAAAGTAATAGCTTCATTCTTTGGAATGGGGGTGGGCCTAAGGCTGTCAGCCTTCACTCCCATGAGTATTTGATAGGGTACCTGGGATCTTCCCTTTTCCCTTATTGGTACTGTTTAGACGTCCCCATCCCGTGCACGCACACACCACACCACCACCACCTTCCTACCATTTCTCTTCACAACACCTTCCAGGAACAGGAAACAGTCATCTCCAAGCCTGCTTTGCAGAGGGGAATCCTGCTCTTTAAACACTGGGGTTTTACTTTCAGCTTGATGTTGAAGGAGGCCGAGGCCTGTGTGGTTTATTCTTAGAGACACCTGGGAGCAGGAGCCATAGCCATGTTCCCCGCAGCTGTTTGGAGTTATGCTCTATCACACAAAGGTCATAAGATAGTCTAATTTTAACTCAAAGTACCAAGTAGCAACTACAGCAGATCTGGTATGGCCCACATCAACTTGTCTCTGTGACAGCCTGCCTGCTCGTACCAAGGTGGGAGTGTGGGCGCCTTCTCAGCTCTGCCTAGCAACCTTTCATCACTTCCTCAAAGTATTCCAAGCAAAAGAGCTCTGCAATCTTTTCGTCATGAAAACAACAATACAACAACATAATATAATGAGTCTTAGTTGGTACCACATTTTTACACACACACACATACAAAAAAGTAAGGAATAAAGGAAGTAGATCACAGCTCCATATGCACAACCCAGAGCTTAAGAACTTAGAGGAGGAACAGAAAGCTTTTATGACTTCAAGTTAGGCAAAGCTTTTTTTTTTTTTTTTTTTTTTTTTTAGACAACACAAAAGCAATGTCTGTGAAAGCAAAGCCCAATCTTCCTTCTTTGCTGGGTTGTTGTGGGCCAGCTCTTTGGAGGTGACATCCAACAGTCCTATAATTCATGCAGATTCCAGGAAGGTGAGAGTTTGAGATGTGAAGCCCTCAGCTACTCAGACACTGCTGTCCCTGCTCACTGCACTCACCTCCGCCATTCATCTGGCACAGGTAGGGGAAGGGCCACACAGTGCCCAGGCCCAAGGCATAGGAGAAGCAGGTAAGCAAGAACTGCAGGGGGTTGTCCCACTTTGGTCGCACCTACTCCACAACCCCAGGCTGGGCCCAGTCTTCCTGGGTGCTGGTCAGGGCATTCAGGGCTGCCCTTGGGCTGCAGTCCCTCATCCTCTGGCAGGGAGACCACATGTGCCGAGGTTAATTCCATCTTCTGAGACAACCCTCAGTGTAGAATGGGCCAACTCCTATGCTCTCTTCTGGATTCCAGGCCCTTGTGTTTCCTGCTGTTCAGCTTTCTGCCCTGTCAGGCCCTGGTGTGGGTCTTCCCTGGTCGGTTTGTGCATCCCCCTGCCTTAACCTCAGGGGTGGCCAGTTCACACCCTCACACCCTCCCACTGACCGTTGGTCACATTCTTTTCTCTGTGTCATGTCTCTCAAACTCCAGGATTTCTGGGCTCCTCAAACTACTACTATTAAGGGTTACTGCAAAATATCTCATGAAGATATGATTGTGTCTGCCGGAGGCTGATGGTGAACTGGAAACTGCAGAAAAACTCCGATCTATGTGCTTGTCAATTTCTATAGTATAAACGGTCCCACAATGGCTCATCCTGAGCTACCAATACGTGCATCGGGACACTATTATTTTGGGTTCCCTCCAACCTTGCATGTACAATGACACAGGTAGCCTCTGGAGCACAACTGACAAGCAATCATAAATCCTGAGTTTTGAGCGTTGTGTCTGATTTAAAATTTACACATCACTCAGACCTCGGTTATAACTGTATTTAAAAATCATCTCAACAAAGGGGATGGATCTCAGTTCTCTGGGGTGTCCAGATTCCCAGTGCAGGCGACTCAGTCAGGCTTAGCCCCACCTGAGTGTTTCCAGGATGCAATTCTGGCTAATGGATGACTGTCTGTGGGCAGGAACTTCACCGTGCTTATCAGAAACACAATAAAGAACATAATCAAGCCGAATCACCAGAACTCTGGAAGAAGGAGAGAAAGCAGGGATAGCTCTACCCAGGGATCTATAGTCTTACCCTGCAAATTAAGGTTATACAATTTTCAATCATTTGCTCATCCTGGTGAGTTCACTGTTAATTAATCATAAGAGTTTCTAGTTTCCCTGTATGAGAGAGTCCAAACTCCTTAGCACTGGTGGCAAGACCTTGCGAGTTATTGTTTGTTTGTTTGTTTTTGATGGTGTTGCAATTCTTGTCCTTTAAAAAAAAAGAAAGATTTGATTTTATTTTATGTGCATATTTTACATATACACATATATATGTATATATATACATAAGGCATATACATACTTGGAACTGGGGTTCTGGATGTCTGTGAACCACCATCTGGGTGCTGGCCATATCATAATGTGAAATGACTTACATCCAACTCTAATAGTCCCCACAGTCTTTCATAGTGTGACCACTGTTTTAAGTTTCTTCTGAGACCCAAGGCAACTTTTAATTATAACTCCTTGTAAAATCAAAAAGTAAATTATATACTTCAATGTAAAACGGCATAGAATATATATTACCATTTCAAAAGGGAAGAATGGGAATATAGTGAGAAAATACTGGACCAAGGCATGACAGAAATCCAGCGGGGCAAATCCTGTAGCTCTAATCTGTTGCTAATAGGCAAGATGGAAATCCAGGAGGGCAAACTCCAAATCCTATAGCTCCAATCTGCTGCCAATGGGCTTAGATGGCTCTTCCCTTCAAGTTCTGCTGGCTACAACATGTGTCTTTCTCTCTTGATTTGGTCCCAAGCTTCTTGGTAAGTATTTCCTATGATTTTGACATCTCCAACATCTTGAGGTCTCCAACGCAATCCAGGCTTCATTTTCATAAATTCACATATAGCTTCTCTGGGTTTCCTTGAAGGGATTCCCATGCCAAACACCTCACTTCAGAGGCTTTTCTTAACTGCAGAGGAAGATTCCCCAACTCCTGTACTCCTGTATCATTCAGGGATCTAAAGCCAAAATGACCTGGCCAATGCTGCCAAGTTCAGCCATTTGGGTTGGAGCCTGTTCCCCTTCTTAAATTATATTTGCATAACATTTTCCCCCATTGCAGCTTTTTACAAATACAAAATCCCTTAGGCATTTCCTTTTTACAAGTTTTAGGGTTTGCTGGGTGGGGTCTTGACCCAAAGACAACACTCCCTTTATTTTGTTTCACACCAGGCCTCTCCTTGTCTCTTTCAGTACAGACATCAAATTCCTTGGTGCTTTTTCCCCTCCTCAAACTGTACATTTTGTGTTTCTTTTTGCTCTGCTTATTATTTTTTATTGTAGCTCCACATGAAAGTGATTACTAATAACCATGCAACAGAGTTAATATTAGGCTGTTTTGAAATCTCCTCTGCCTATAAAATTAGTCCAACTAATTTCAAATTGCCCTCAGGCAGAAAGCATCCTCATTTTTTTCCCAAGCACCACAAGAATGGTTTCTAACACTGTCAGTAATATTGTTGCCCTCTGAAGTTTCTCGAGCTGAGCATCCACAACCCTCAATGATCTTAGCACTATTGTCTCCAAGCTCTTGCTAGGATGTCCATTCAGCCCTGCTTACAGCAGTCAACAGCTTTCCTAATCTAATTTCCCCAGGTTTTCCATATTCCTTCCAAAAGCAGCATGGCCAGCCTCCTGTCACAGCAATACCCCACCCCTTAGTACCAACTTTTGTCTTCCTTACTTTCCTGTTGTCATGACAAAACACTATGACCAAGGCAACTTATGAAAAAGAAAGTGTTTAATTTGGGGCTTATGGCTGCAGAAGGTTAGAATCCATGATCATCATGGGGAAAGCATAGCAGCAGGCAGACAGGCAGGCAGGCAGCAGGCAGCAGGCAGGCAGCAGGCAGACAGGCAGGCAGCAGGCAGACAGGCAGGCAGTAGGCAGCAGGCAGGCAGGCAGGCAGCAGGAAGGCAGGCAGGCAGGCAGGCAGCAGACAGGCAGGCAGGCAGGCAGGCAGCAGGAAGGCAGGCAGGCAGACAGGCAGGCAGTAGGCAGCAGGCAGGCAGACAGACAGGCAGCAGGAAGGCAGGCAGGCAGCAGGCAGACAGGCAGGCAGGCAGCAGGAAGGCAGGCAGGCAGGCAGCAGGCAGACAGGCAGGCAGGCAGCAGGCAGCAGGCAGGCAGCAGGCAGGCAGCAGGCAGGCAGCAGGCAGGCAGCAGGCAGCAGGCAGGCAGGCAGGCAGTCATGATGCTGGGGCATCCTTATTCTCAAGTAGGAAGCAGAGAGAGCTAACCACGCCCAGTGGCACACCTCTTTCAACAAGGCCACACCTCTTAATCCTTCCTAAACAGTTCTACCAGCTGGGGAACAAGTATTTAAACATGTGAGTCTATGGGGACATTCTCATTAAACCACCTCATATTCCCTTTTAACAACATAGAAGGAAATCCAAAGAAATGACGACATGAGAGTGTAATATGCAATCAAAAAGTTATAAGACATGTGGAATAGGAGGGGAAAGATTAACATAAATCTAAATGAAGATCTTCAAGGAGAAAAGACATAAGCAGAGGTGACAGTTAAGACATAGTATGTATTAACTTGCCAAAACCGAGAAGAAATCATGGATTCATAAATCCAGCAGGTTTAATAGTGTTTAGGTTCAGGCCTGGATGAGGTAATAAAAACCCACCCATACTAAATTCACTAAAGATGCCAAAGACAAAGGGACATATTTAGTGAAGTCAGACAAAGGACTGCTCACTTACACAAATAAAAGAGAGGCAGACAAGACAGTTCAGCTGGTAGAGGTTTTTGCAGTGCAGGCCTGAACTTATGTTCAACCTGTAGAACCCATGTAAAGGTAGGAGAGAATTGACTCCACAAAGTTGTCCCCTGACCTCCACACATGCACACATGCACCCACACGCACACATACACACACACACACACACACACACATAATTAATTTAAAACAAAATAATAAAAGAAAAATTCAGCAGCAAGGATTGAAACCAGAATTATAAGGCAAATGTTATCCAAGTGTTGGGAGAAAATAACTTTTAGCAAAAAAAAAAAAAAAACCTACCCTTGGGACAAGTTCTTTAAGAAATGGGCCAGGGGCTGAAGAAGTGTCTTGGTGGTTAAGAGCATTCATTGGCTGCTCTGCCAAAGGACCTGGGTTCAATTCCCAGTGCCCACAGTGGCTTACACAGTGGCTAACTCTGGTTCCAGAGATCTGACAGCATTTTCTGACTTCTATGGGCACTGGGAATACACATGGTTCATATAGACAAAATACACATAAAACAATGTTTTAAAAGACTGTTATATATTGCCAGGCAGTGATAGAACATGCCTTTAATCCCAGCAATCAGGAGGCAGAGGAAGGCGGATCTCTGAGTTTGAGGCCAGCCTGGTCTACAGAGGGAGTTCCAGGAGAGTCTAGGCTACCCCGAGAAACCCTGCATCAAAAAGAAGCAAACAAACAAATAAAAATAAGGAAAAAAGAATGAAAGAGAGAAAACAAATATAGATGTTTATATGGAAGCAAAAATCTAACAAAGTTTACAGTCCTTAAAACTTGCCCTGTCAGTGATGATGGCTCACATCTTTAATCCCAGAACTCAGAAGGCAGAGGCAGGCAGATCTCTGTGAGTTCGAGGCTAGCCTGGTCTACAAAACAAGTTTTAGGACAGCCAGGGCTGTTATGCAGAGAAACTCTGTCTTGAGCACACATCCTTCTCCCCCCCCCCAGACAAACAAACAAACTTGCCTTATAGGACAATATTTTAAAAGAAGATTTATTTAGTTATATGTATATGTACATGTACATGTGTGTTTGTGTACCATGTCTGTGCAGGTGCCCACAAGGTCAGAAGGAAACATCAGATTCTCTGGAGGTGACTTTGAACTACTTGATGTGAGTGTTGAGAACTAAACTCCGGTCTTCTGGAAGAACACCAAGCTTTTCTAACTGCTGAACCATCTCTTTAGCCCCACAGGAAGGTATTTTAAAGCAGGCTCCTCTCTCCCAAAGATAGCTGGAATGCAAGAAAGTGTATTTACAAATAAAATTGTGTGTGTGTGTGTCCCCATCCCTGGGGCCAGGG